CACTGTATTATTTTCTGCCCCTGCTTAAAAAAAAGCTTCTTTATTTCAGCAATCCTACCCTGGCATGTAACTTTATCATGTTGTCTTGATGCATGATTTAAATGAGTGAAAGTGTCTTATAATTACTGGTTTTATTTTATATTTTAAATGCAATTTGTTTTTAATGTTTGTTTTTATTGGTATTTTTGATGGCTTTATTATTTAAACTGTGTAGAGGTCTTTTGCTTTAGTAGCAGCATATACATTTTTGTTAAATACATAGTAATAACAACCAGTGATCCCAAATGGTCATGAAATGCAGGAGAGGTTGCTTGCAATAATTCTATATAAAGCTTAACTGTATTCAGGATCAGCAAAGTGGTTATTTAGAAGAGTTTGGATTGGATTTGATATCCCGCTTTATCACTACCCGAGGGAGTCTCAAAGTGGCTAACATTCTCCTTTCCCTTCCTCACCCACAACAGACACCCTGTGAGGTGCGTGGGGCTAAGAGACTTCAGAGAAGTGTGACTGGCCCAAGGTCACCCAGCAGCTGCATGTGGAGGAGCAGAGACGCAAACCCGATTCCCCAGATTACAAGACTACCGCTCTTAACTACTACACCACACTGGCTCTCCTTATTTAGAACAGCAGTACTTGCGGATAGCACAATCATCCTAGTAAGAACTACGAATGTCCTTCACTCCCCTTTTCCCTTGCCTTCCCCGAAACAACCCTGCTTCGCCTGCTACAAGGATGATGTAGAAAACATTCCACACTATTGTTGCAAAAAGTTAAATTTGCTAGTATCGTAGGACATCTAAAATAGGGATGGGGGACCCTCTAGTCGTCCGGATGCTGTTCAGCTCCAACTCCACACATCCCGTACCCTTGGCTATGCTGCCAGGGCTGATGGGAGTTGGACAGCCCCAGACCCTCATAGCCATGACCTAAAATGTAGGCTGATAAGGCAGAAAGACTGGAGATCAAACTGAACATGAGCCAATAATATGGTGGTGCTATTATACAAAAAGCAAACCCCAAACCCACAACCACTTTAGGCTGTATGAACAAAAACCTTGTATCCATTATTTTCAACGTAAGGGTCTCATTCATGTTCAGCTTGCAGGCCATATTTCATGAAGACAGTCCGTAAACAAGAAAGATTTACCGTACATCCATTTTCTTCCTGAGGGCAAAGTCCTTTGAGGCGTTGGGAATATGTTTAGCCTAGGCCCTAAAGAAAATATGATCAAGGAGGTAAATTTTCAAACATTTAAAGATATATGAGGAAGCAGAACTGATTTGATTTGATTAACTTCAGTAGTAGCTTTAAGAATGATGTGAGACTTAAGATAAATTAAGATGCAGTCAAATTATAACAGTTTGTATCGGCAACAAGTTTGTATACCTGAATTAAGGAGTAGACGGGAAGTCACTTGTGTCTTTGAGTCAGTTTGTATTAAGTCTATTTGTTTTTTGTATGGTATAGGTGTAATGACCGTTTTTCCTTTTTCTTTGTGTATTACAAAAAAACCATTTTATTTTTTTAAAGGAGGCAGAACTGAAGATAAGGCAAGAAACAAGATGAGATAACTATAACAACAGCTTCGCAGTGGAAGAAACTTCCTAAAGTTGCTGTGGAATTTCTTGCTGTTTCTTAAGGGAATGTTGGTGCTTCAGAAGCTGTCTCCAACCATCCTGGCTTCCCAGCACGGATGGTAAAATTGGACTTCATAAATGCTCTCCAGAGCACTTTGAGGGGGTGTGGGGTTGGCAACCTTGAATGGCGAGTGTCCTCATCCTTTGCCGTGCATTGGACCCTCTGCCATGATGATCCCTGGATCTTGGAACCAGCTGTTGCCAGATGGCTACGTGATCTAATAAATACATCAGATCATTTGCTTGGCAGCCAATTCTGAATCAGGCGTGCTGATTCAAGCATTATGCCAATCTCCATGTTAATCTACTCCTTGCTTGCTAGTGTAAACCACAGGTATGGGGGCAGGGTTGGTAGAGGTGATACAAGGGAAAACAGCAGCTAAGATATGCAAGACCCCAGGCTATCTGTAGGCGCATCGAATTTCCAGTACCACCCTCCACAGGCTACATTTAGCAAATGTTTCTCAGCTTTTATACAGGAACTTGGCAGGGATCCCTGCTGTCAAAAGTTTATCTTCAACCCACTGCACCATCTACTGGCCAATGTTAACCACTGCATGCTTTTGCAGACTACTGTACTCCTTTACTAGGAAGTCAGTATTCGAAGAATCGGAGGGTCTGAGAATAATAAGAATTGGAAGGGACCTCAAGGGTTTTCTAGTCTGACCCCCTTCGATGCAGGATTCAAGAAAGTACACCAGCATATAATGGGAACTGATAGCAAAACTTTTACCATTCTAATCAGCATAACACAGAATTGGTTCGGTGTGTAAAAAGGACTACAAGCAGAACTCTTTTCCCTGCACATTTTCATTTGACACCTGTCGGTATATATCTAAAGAAAGCTTGCAGGACAGAAGACCCATCAGCCAATCACAAGTCCTGCCCAGCCTATTTGCGGCCCTCTGGAGGAATTCCAAATATCCTGTGGGTTGTATCCACAGTAGAATCAAGTCTCTTCTTCTGTTAGCACAAGGATTTACCCTTACACAATGGAACTTCCCCTTCTCCTCCCACTGCACCCCCCCAATATGTTCTGAGGGTTCCCCCAAATCCTTCAGAGCAGATTTGTGGAGGGCTCGGTGGCACATGAGAAGGATAAGCCACACTGCACAAGCAAAAATCCCTGTAAAACAAAGGCATTGGATTCCGCCCATTGTTTGTGATTTTCCTTACATCTTTGCGAGAACATCCAAGGCTTGCCTCAGCCTGCCCAAAGCAGAAATGGGGAGAATGCTTGCATCGCTCACTACATCTGAGCTGGCTCAAGATGTTTCCTGACTGAGATGGAACAGTAAACACACACCACCAACAAATAAGGATGCATACTATGGCTGGCTGCATTGTTTTGACACCTAAGGCAGAAAATCCCACCAGCACCCCTCTCTAGAGTAAGACTGCAGTAATAATCAGTACATGGAATGAACTTGTTCGCCTTAACGAAGTCCCCTGAATTATTTAAAAAATCTCTGAGCCATACCTGAAAGTGGTTCCATAATTGCTGAGTAAAGTGTACATGAATCAAGTCTATTCTGGGATAGAATGCTGTATCATTTCTAGTTCATTTTCATGTTCATTCTCTTGTTTCTCCTTAGACTCTTTGGGCTTTTAAGGTTACAAAATGTAATGGTTGGGGGAAGTAAATTAAACCATTTGCATTCCGCTGTGTACATGTTTTGATGTTTTCCTAGCCTTCATAATTATATTTTACACTTTAGCACAGCATTTTGCAACATTCTAAAAGCTGAAAGGAAAAAAATGCAAAGGATCATCTGGATGAACTTGAATTGAACTGCGAACTGCATGTGAACTTTTTGGGAAAGGGATAATGTGAACTGAAATTAGCTGTAAAGAGGAAATTCGAACAGATTGCTTCGTGCTAGTAAATTTGCGGAGTCCCAAACAATTTCCTGCTCTCAACTTGGGAAGATTCAAGTCACTATGACCAGAGTAAGTTGTGGGTGGGGAAACACTTGCAGTAGCATAACTTCTGGTGTCATGTTCCATTTCCAATCAATGTGAAGCAATCTTTCCAGAGGGGTAACTTGCCCTCATCAGACTCTATTGTCAATGTGAAGCAGTAACTCCAGCTGTTGTGCTAAAAGCATTCTCCAGATAATCCCAAGCATTTTGATTAGGTCAGAAGATGGCTGGAGACTATGAAAAAAAAAGTTTAATGTCGGCTGAAGAGTATTAATTCAGGGACAACGGCTTACCAGCAGCTCCTAAAGGCAAGATTTCATTGGGAGGCACCCTTTAAAAATGTGCTCGCGAATGCAGACCCTCTAAGTGTCCCTATTTTCCAGGGATGTCCCTGATTTAGAGAAGCCATCCCTGTTTCTGAATTCATAGAATCATAAAGTTGGGAGGGACCCAAGGGTCATCTAGTCCAACCCCCTGCAATGCAGGAATCTCAGCTAAAGCATCCATGACAGATTGCCATCCAATCTCTGTTTAAAAACCTCCAAGGAAGAAGAGTCCACCACCTCTTGTGGGAGTCTGTTCCACTTATGAACAGCTCTTACTGTCAGAAAGTTTTTCCAAATGTTTAGTCAGAATCTTCTTTCTTGCAACTTGAAGCCATTTGTTCAAATCCTACCTTCCAGAGCAGGCAAAAACAAGCCTGCTCCCTCCTCCATGTGACAGCCCTCAAGATATTTCAAGATGGATATCATACTGTATCTCCTCTCAGTCACCTCTTTTCCAGGCTAAACTGACCCAGTTCCTTCAAGCACTCCTCATAAGGCTTAGATTTGATCCCGGAATGTCCCACTTTTCCTTAGGACGTTCCTATTTTCATTGGAGAAATTTTGTAGGTATGGAGTTCTCCGACCCATGAGCCACCTGAAGGCAATCCTGTATAGGGAAGTTTTTTTAATGTTTAATGTTTTATTATGTTTTTATATATGTTGGAAGTTGCTCAGAGTGCTGGGGCAACCCAGCAAGATGTATGGGGTATAAATCGTAAAATTATCATTCTGGAATGGGACGTCCCTATTTTCATCGGAGAAATGTTGGAAGGTATGTGAATGTCTGACAGAAAGCAGCCTTCTGCTCAGACGATATGTGTGGGCTTTAATGGGAACTAATCCTTCCATTGAAGCAAGGAGTTCCATGCCCAATTTCTTGCTTGGAAGTGACAGGGCTGCGTTTTGTAAGCATTATTCAGCAGATAAGGAGTGATTTTGACCTCTTTCTCACACACTGTTTCCTCCTTACGGTTTCTGCAACCGTGCTCCCTTCCCCTCCCTTCTCTCTCCTCCCTTCAGAGAATTGGCTTTACAACGGAATTGTAAAATAATCCAGCTGTTCCTATGGTGACCTGTTGGCAGTTGCCCGGAATGACACCATCAAGCATAGACCTGGCCTGTTCTCTGCCAACACCCAAATCTGTTTATTCTGAGCAAGGCTGTGTTTGCTTTTGAAGCAGGTCAAGTACATGTCTAAAAGCTGGACGAGAGATGATGCAATCCCAGAGATCGTCCAGGAAAGCTGCTGTTTTGCCTGCATCTGATGCTTCGAGGGCAGGGATGGGGAACCTGCAGCCCTCCAGATATGGTTGAGCTCCAACTCCCATCTGCCCCAGTCAACATGATCAATAGTCATGGACAATGGGAACTGTAGTCCAATAACATCTGAGGGGGCACACGTTCTCTATCCCTGCCCTCTTTACCTATTTAATTTAGTTTTTAACACAAAAAGTCCACATCAAGACCTGATATATCCAATTATCTTTTTATATAGGCTGTTAACTGACTCTGTTTACGCAAGGGAGAAACGTGCTAAGAGGAAGGCACGCTTGGCAAATCCACACCATGACCAGCTCCCGCCCAGAAACCAATGTCCCCACAGTGGAAGGACGTGTGGATCCAGAATTGGCCTCCACCGTCACTTACGGACTCATTGTTAAAACCGTGTTTATGGAAGACAATCTTACTCGGCTACGAGTGATCGCCAGAGAAGAAGATGTAATTATTCTTGGTAATTATCTCTATTCTTTAACACTGCACATCCTCCAACATTCCTTAGGTGAAAATAGGGACGTTTCTCATTCCCCAACAACTGACCCTACTCAAGTCACCATTTTTAGTGTGTCTCCCCACCCCCACCCCTCACAGAGCATTTCCTATCAGAGGAAGGGAAAGTGCCACCACTGCCACTACAGCAATGGGACACAGCACACAAACACCCTCCACCATCCTGAGAAAACCCCTTAATCCCGATTTTATTTTATTCCTTAGCAGATTTACAAAAAGAAAAGCACACACCAATAAATAAATTTTAGAAAGGGGCAGAGACACACAAAGGATTAAAAAATAAAATAAAAACCAAGATTCCTTGCGCTCTGCTCCTCCTTTCTTCACATTCATGGGGGCCCTGCCCTCTGCCTGCCCCTCAAAGCCAGCACATCACAAAGGGTTGAGCCTCTCTTCCTCCTCCTCACCCACTCTCCAGCTGCCACTACGAACTGCCCAAGGGGGGAGGCTGGCAGCAGCAGTCATGGAGAGGCCACGGGATGCTCTCTCACAGCCGCCACCATTCAGGACAAGCGCTGGCTCATCCTCCTGCCCGAGCTCAGCAGTGGAGGCACTGGGGGAGGAGAGATAGGGTCATTCCAGGATCCAATCAGAAGCCGAGATGGCTTTCGTAATTCCGGGACTGTCCCTGGAAAATCGGGACACTTGGAGGGCATGACATGTTTAGTTCTTTCAGAAATGGTTGCAATGTAAGGGGAAAGGTGAGTACAACCACGTTATTCTGCTGTAAGCACATTTTGTTTTGTAAAGGATTAACTATGTGGGGAGATAAACTGGGAGTTCTTTTTTGGCTGAGGCCAGAAAAGATACCACGTACGTGGGCTCACTTGTCAGTCTGCCAAGAAGCAGCTAAGCTGCTTGTTTCAAAAGGGCTGCTTTGTTTACCTACTTGTGGAGGTTTGAGTTATGGTGACTAATAACAGGATCTAACTTTTATATGGTTCAGGTGACTTGAAATGTGTCGAAAACTTCTGGAAGTCCTTTAGCCTCCATGGGCAGAGGCAGCAATGCTTCTGAATACCAGTTGCTGGAAGCCACAGGAAGGAACAGTGCTCTTGTGCTTGGGCCCTGCTTGCAGGTTTCTCACAGGCATCTATCTGCTTGGCCACTGTGAGAACAGGACGTCAGACTGGATGGGCCATTAGCCTCATTCAGCAAGATTTTCTTACGTTCTTGGTGGACTTTCTATTCTTTGGTCCTTAATGATAGGCCAATGAGGATTCAGAGCCATTAAAGATAATACCTGGCAGTCCTGCTAGTTCAACCAGTTTGGCAGACTACTACACTGTTACAGTCACAGGGCTGGAAGAGAATGTGAGGTTATCAAGTTCACGCACACACCCAATCTCATTATAATGTCAAGGTGGTTAAACCACTCCTCATAATCTGCAAGATCTGAATTAATACAGAATTGAGTTGGACTGAGATTATGGCTATAGGTAAAGGACGCGGGTGGTGCTGTGGTCTAAACCACTGAGCCTAGGGCTTGCTGATCAGAAGGTTGGTGGTTCGAATCCCCATGGCGGGGTGAGCTCCTGTTGCTTGGTCCCAGCTCCTGCCAACCTAGCAGTTCGAAAGCACGCCAAAAAGTGCAAGTAGATAAATAGGTACCGCTCCGGCAGGAAGGTAAATGGCGTTTCCGTGTGCTGCTCTGGTTTCGCCAGAAGCAGCTTAGTCATGCTGGCCACAAGACCCGGAAAAACTGTCTGCGGACAAATGTCGGCTCCCTTGGCCAGTAAAGCGAGGTGAGCACCGCAACCCCAGAGTCGTTCGCGACTGGACTTAACTGTCAGGGGTTCTTTACCTTTTAAAGGACTACAGCAGTAGAGTTGCTGTGAGGGGTCAGTTTGAGAAGCTTCACAGCAGTGGATGCAATACTCAGGAAAGGCTTAGAAAATGAAAGAGAGACAACTTGTTCATGCGCTATTTGCACACACTTCTCTCTCAAATATAGGTTATCCAGACCACTAATCGGGTTGGTTGGAGGCAACCACTGGATCAGAGAAGTTGCTTCATCCTTCACGTAACAGGCCCCTGCCACATTCCAGCACTCAGCCACAATCGTTTTCTAAGAGCACTAAACCAATAAAAATGCCAAGTTGGTCTGGAGTCAGCACATTCTGTGTGACAAGGAATACCACACCTATGCACTGCCTGACGCCAGACATCATAGCATTTGTGGCTTCTGTAAAATCACTCCTTTAGCAAATACCAACATGTGGGGTTGTGCCCCAAAGCAACCAAATATCCAAGCATATCTCATCCACAATGCAGGAGAAGGGAAATGAACACATTCAATGCTAATGAAAAAGTTTTGCTCTAACGGTAGAAGATAATTCAGAACCTATCATTCTCTCTGCTAGGGACACAGGGGTTTAGCAGTCCTGGACCCCCTTGGTCTCCACAGCATGAAATCTCTAAGGTCTGAAATCACTAAAGCCTGAACCCTCTTAAGGGATTGCAAGAAGTTCCGAAGGGACCTCTCAAAATTGGGAATGGGTATTAAAATGTCAAATGTGATGCAACATAAACAAGTGGAACGATATTGCCCCAATCTTTATGTTTCATCATAGATACATTTTAAGGGTGCCACACAGTGTTCACCTTCCTTCCACAATAAATAGGGTGTTTAGTGTGTCTTTACCTAGATTCTGGAACTCCTTCACTATTAATTTTAAGCACCTTAAGAGTCTTCTCTTACATATAGCTCGACCATCAATTATTGTCTAGCATTGTCCAGATGTTAAGTATGTTTATATTGTTTTATGAATGTATTAAGTTCACCCCCCTGGATACTTTGCTTATTGTATGGTATATAAACCAAACGAATCAATAAATAGTTTGTTCATTAATGTAAAATGATGCACGATGGGGCAAAAGAAATCCTAATGTCATATATATACTTATGGGGTCTGACCTGGCGGTGACAGACCTGGAATAGGCCTGTGAAGAGGAATGCTGGGCTGCGCTGCGCTGGGGTCACCCCTTGCCCACTTCCCTCCATGCTTGCTGACCATCTGGTGAGTGCATCAAGCAAGGAGTGAGCGAGCGCTGGCTGGGTGGTCATTCAGCAAGGGAGCTGGGGGCACGACAGCAAGGCAAGGCCACGCTCCGGGGCCCTGATACCCCTGGTGGCAGGCAGGGAAGGATGGGAAGCTGGGGACGAAGCCCATCAAGACAGGGATCCTCACGGAAGCCAGCACCTATGTGGGGGCGCTTGGTTCATGCCCCCTCGAAATTGTGTGCCTGGGACCACAGCCCCACACTACACCTCTGGTTTGGGGTGGGGGAACAATCTCATTGTTTTTTAAGCTGCTAATGTGCACATAGTGACCTTTCTAGATAAAGGGAACTGATGTTCTTTTTGCCTGGAAGTTGGGTACAAAGCTTTGATTACGAACTACGGACTGCCTTTCCCACATTGCAATGTCAAAGTACTCTGAGCCTCCCTGGTCTAAGGTAGCAATCATTGTATTGTTTTATGTTACTGATTTGATTTATTCTCACACAACCTGTAGTGTTGGACTGTGGGTAGGTGCTGCTTTGATAACTCAAGATCAAAATCATAATGCTAAAGTCAGCTTGGTGTACTGGTTAGAATGCTGGACTAGGACCTGGGAGACCAGGGTTCAAATCCCCACTCATGAAATTCAAAACCCCATGAAGCTCACTGGGTGACCTTAGGCCACTCACTGCCTCTTGGCCTAACTTTCCTCGCAGAAGTGAGAAACCTGGGGCCCTCCAGATGTTGGACTCTTGACACTGGTCAGCCCCAAGCACCATGGCCAAGGAGCAAGGATAATGGGATTTGGGTAGTCCAGCAACATCTGCAGGGCCACAAGTTCCTTATCCCTCCCTGCTCGCGTAAGCCAACAAGCTTTCCTCCTTTTCCTGAACGTGTAGTATGTGTGGGAAAATCTCTCCCAGGAAATTCATAAAGCTGCCACATTATCCTTTTTAAAACCCTTTCTAACAGTTCCTTCTTAAAGATCTTTCATCCCAGAGTGTCTGCTAAATTGCCAAGTAACTATGGATTACCATTCAAAACATCCTCCTTTTGCTTTCACCTAAACAATACATGCTTTTTCTTTCCTACGCTTGTTTAATCTTGCCTTAAACCAACATGATAAGCCCTTTGGGGTACAGATTGTCTCCTCCCATTATGACTGCCGCTATTAACCCCCGAAGATCTCAAAATCTGGGCACGTTCATGAGAGGGAAATCAGTCTATCAGATAGCTTGGAGCTAAGCCATATAGGACTTTGAATTGTGCCTGGAAACAGACTAGTAGCTAGCAGAGCAGTTAGAGCAAGTGAGTCATATGCTCCCTGTAACTATTCCTAGTTAGCAATCTGGCTGCAGCTCTTTGAACCAGTCAACGTTTCTGAGCACTTTTCAAAGGGAGCTCCACGTAGAGTGCTGTGATGGCCTGGGACTCGGGCTCGGGCTCGGAACCAGAGGAGTCTCAGTCTGCACCAAATCCTTTGCCTCAGGCATCATCTGAACCAAGTCTGGGGCCTGATCTTGAAGAGTCCCAGTCTGCACAGGTTCCCCTGCAACAAACCCCAGCTAGGCCGAGTCAGGGGCCTGAGCCTACCCTGGCTCCGGATGCGGGGATTACCTTGTTGCCTTCAGCTGGGCAATCACTTACAGCTGCTCCACTACCGGTTTGGTCAGGGGAGACTGAGGCGGCCCCTGGGTCTAGTAACCCACCGACGTCTCCTGAGCTGCAGAGACTAAGGTCTGAGAGAAGGAGAGACCTGAGTACTCGCAGGAGGAGTGCTCGCCTTTGGGTGAAACACAGAGGTGAGTCGCCAGGGGATCAGGACAGGCCGGACAAAGATAAAAGGCTGTCGGACCCCGCTGCAGGTTGCGGGAGCAACATTGCTGTATGCCAGACCCTGCCTGAGATCCTGTACCTGTCCTTGCCTGGTTTCCTGCCTCGTGTCCTGCCTTGACCCTGTTGGACTGACTCCTAGTGGAACCTACGGATTCTGGACCGGACTTGGACCACGGTTCTCGGGTTACCCCCGGACCCAGCACAGGTGCATTACACCACTCCAAATAAGATGCAACTGTGGTCAAATCAGACATCTCAAGAAATGGTCACAGCTGGCACACTAGCAAATGCACACCTGGCCACTGCATAGGCCTGGGCATCCATGCTCAGGGCTGAGTCCAGGAGCATTCCCAAAAAGCTCCAGGGGGAGCGTTATCCCATCCAGCACAGGCTGAATCCCTATTTCCTGTTCTGCCATCCTACTTGACCAAGAGCACTTCTGTCTTATCTGGATTAAGTTTCAGTTTATTCGCCCTCATCCAGTCCTTTACTGATGACAGACATTGGCTTTTAACCTAGAAAGCTTCCTTGGATTTAGGTGGAAAGGAGAAATAGAGCTGGGTGTCATCAGCATACTGGTGACACCAAACCCTGAAATTCTGGACAACCTCTCCCAGCAGTTTCATGTAAATGCTAAATAGCATGGAGGAGAGAACAGAACCCAGAGGGACTCCACAGACCAATGACCAAGGTGTTGAACAGGAGTCTCCCAGCAACAGCTTCTAGGTTTGCCCCATGAGAATGAATGGAATCATCATCAACATCTGACTGGGTTTCCCCAGCCACTCTGGGCAGCGTCCAGCAAAATATAAAAACATAATAAAACATCAAACATTAAAAACTTCCTGATAAAGGGTTGCCTTCAGATGTCTTCTAAAAGTTGTGTAGTTCTTTATCTCCTTGACATCAGATGGGAGGGTGTTCCACAGGGAGGGTTCCACCACTGAGAAGGCCCTCTGCCTGGTTCCTTGTAACTTCACTTCTTGCAGTGAGGGAACTGCCAGAAGGCCCTCAGCGCTGAACCTCAGTGTCTGGGCTGAATGATGAGGGTGGAGATGCTCCTTCAGGTATACTGGGCCAAGGCCGTTTAGGGCTTTAAAGGTCAGTACCAACACTTCGAATTGTGCTTGGAAACGTACTAGGAACCAGTGAAGATCCTTTAGGACTGGTGTTATATAGAACTTCTGTGCATCCTATTCTATTTCGTCTTTCTAATGAATACCTACCCTTTCTTATGAAAGCATGGTGCTCTGGACAGTTGCATCAAATCTGGCATCAAGGACAGAGCAGATGTGAATGAATCTGCCTGCAAAGCACTTTAGAACACTGACTGACCATATATGGGATACACAGTAGGGGTTTTCTACTTCCCTTTGCTTTCTGTTGGAGCTGAGATTTTGCTGTAACTCATCAGAATCCTCAAGTAAAGGAGCCCAAAAGAGAAAACAGAAATGTTGGTGTCAGCAGGAAACAGACTTGCTGAGACAATAATAGCATATTAAGGGATCGGATGCAAAAGCAACAGCATAGTTAAAATTAGAAAAAGACCCTAGAATAAAGTCCTTCACTTTGGCATGTGTGTAGCATTAATCATATAAAGAACAGCACAGGTAGGAAACTCTGCCCTCAGCTATCTGGGACAGAAATCAGGGCTTCCAATAGAAAAGGGTGAGATTCCAAGAAGACAAATGGTGGAAAGCATGACTCATGCCAAGGAACAGAGAGTTCGTTCTATCTTGGAGGTGGTCAGAGTGCAGCTTTCAGTCCTTTTGGAGTGTACTATAATGACTGGAGGTCATGCCCCTTCTTCCTAGTTTATCTCTCCTTCCCCCTTTAGCCTATCATCCTCTCATCTCACCCATCCCCATGTTTATCTGACTAAAGTATTAGGACTCTGAAAGATACCTTCCGACATGGTACTATCTGTGACCAACATAAAGGGGGCGTAATGAATTTAAAATAATTATTATGTATAACACCAAGTAGGCCTATTCTGTTCAACTTAACATTGCCTTTGTGGCTCCCAGACTTCCTGCACTGGTATCGTCATCTGTTTTCAGACGTTGTTCTAGAATCAGGTTTTTATTCTTGCTGCCACGGAGAAAGCATCAAGGTTGCGCAAAGAACTGAACAGAGGGGTTGCACAGCCAAACCCAGTGCATTCTTCATTCAAGGTTAGCCTTCATTAGGCCAAGTGAGACAACCACCTTAAGCAGCAGGTGCTGGGGGAGGGGCAGGGGCAGAGGTCACCTGCTGTCCTTTCCCAGCCCCTTGACTGTTCCCCATTACTGGATATGTGTGTGTGTGTGTTCACACACATGTGCCACACAACCTGCCCTTCATCTTCTTTGGGTGTGGTAGACCACAGTTTCCTGTCACCAGCATTGAAGTAAGATTCAGTTCAGGTAACTTCTGTACATGGAATAGAGCTTCCCCTCCCCCGTCTTATCCTTCACCTCAAGCAGCAAAACATTTTGAGCCAGCCCTGTCTTCATTTCACCACACTGGTCCTGACCCAAAGACGACAGGAAGCACATGCCCTCCAACATTTCTCTGATGAAAATAGGGACATCCCATTCCATAATGATAATTTTACTATTTATACCCCACACATCTTACTGGGTTGCCCCAGTCCTCTGGGCAACTTCCAACATATATAATAATAAAACATTAAACACTAAACAATTTTTTTTAAATCCCTATACAAGGCTCAGGGATTGGATAACTCCATACCCTCCAATATTTCTCCAATGAAAATAGGGACATCCTAAGGAAAGCAAGACATTCTGGGATCAAATCAGAAACAGGGATGGCTTCTCTAAATCAGGGACGTCCCCGGAAAATAGGGACACTTGCTGGGTCTGAAAGTATGGCCTTTTGCCTCGGAAGTATAGAAGCCAAAGCAATGGACTTTTCACTGGGAAGGCATCTATTAGAGCCAAGACTGGAC